TGCTATGGACTTTAGTAAATTTTACTGTAACTAATAGTGGTTTTTGCTATGCTCTGTATTTTTTACTAAGGCAATGGCATGGTAGGTATATAGTGTTTTTTAATTCATAAAAAAATCTATTTTTTCCATTATAATTTAAATACAAATAAAAACGATCAACAATCATTCTTGGCAGTGAGTCACTTTGACTCATTCGTATGAAGAATTTTTTTAAAGCGTAAGTTACTCATGCGCTGAGTAACCTAAGCTTTAAGAAAATTTTCCATACAGATGAGTAAAAGTGACTCACAAATGAGTAAAAGTTAATCACTGAGTTAGTTTTGTTTTCAGTGTACAACGCAATGAACACCCCTGTTTATCACTAAGCAGTCAAACGATGACTGCACCCTAATAAAAATTGTATGGTTAATTTGCTTAACGACGTGTTCTGGGTATCATCCAAACCATTTGTGGAATAGTTCAATGATTTGGGTTATCGTTCGTTTATGGTTATTTTTATTAGAGCAGTCAAACTTTATACGTTTCCCTTACTTAAGCATTTAGATTAGCATTTTATGCCCCTCCTTTATATGTATTTTGTTGATGTAGGTGAATGAATAGTGTGCGGTCGAAGGAAGAAAATGTATGGGAAATTTGAATATTTCCATGTTTCTTCATTGTTAACTATTTAAATATTTAACAATTATAATGTGAGACATACCAAGCAAATTTCATAACACTGGTGAACCGATCGACATACAAATAATCAAAATCCATTGATTATTGGCCAAGTTATTAGCATTCCAAGTCTGACAAATTTTCGTTGCATTTTACTGAATTGGCAACCTTAACGAGAGACGTAGCCCTACGTCAAAAAGTAACGAAAACGGGACATAATGAATATTAAAAAAATTAAAGAGTGGAGTTAGAGTGTCGATGAAAGGGATTGAAAGCCATAATGAGGTTTCGTTTCAACTCGATAATCGACGTTACTTTCATTGAAAGTAATGACGAGAAAATCCACAGTCTCCGCTTCGTTCTAAGCGTGCTTCTTCTTCACTTTCGTTTCTGCTTCACCTAGCTAGACGGTGATATAGAAATGATCCGTTGAATATGAGTTCATTTTAGAGCTTCAAAAATGTAGAACCCTGATTACAACATCTAATGATTTCATAATACCGAAAATCATTTTTTATAGCAACTGAGTGGAAGCAACCGTAGTTTGAGGAAGATTTTTGTCGACAATTTATTCAACATTTTTGCAACACTTTTTTTGCATTACAATCCAAGATGGCGAAAAAGGTTGGTTAATTTACTTTTTGTTGAAAAATGGGACTTAAAAGTGACCTGCTTCAAAAAAGAGTCAGTCACTAAAAAGCTACCCGCTGTCAGCCTTACAATTTCCAGAATACCTTTCTGAAGCTGTGATCAAACACATTTAATATTGAATTCACATTTCACATTAAATTCACAATTCATGTTTCAAGTCTAGTTAATGTTAAAGGAATACAAAACTACAAGGGACAGCCCTATGGGGTTGTACGGAATGGTGACGTAGGACTACGTGGCCTTATAGAATAAATCTCATTTATTAATTGCAACAGGAGCTTGTGTTTTGTGAAGGAATAGGAATTTGAGCGGGGTTCTCTCTGTTTATACTCTTTAGTATGACGCGCTTGACATAGATGACCCACAGCGACTCACGAAAAGCTACTGATTCCGATCAATAGCGGTGCAGCTTCTTCCTCTTTCTATGGATGCTTAGGTGGGCTGCAGCCACTGCTTGCAGGCAGCATTTCGTTGTGTACTGGAGAACACCACCACTCACCACGCGGTGATTGAATAATCACTGTTTGGTGTGACCAGTTGGAATTCAGCTTTGAAATCTGAGTTAGGGAAAAAGATTCTCGCAGCCAATCGGTGATAATTTTAATAAGCATAGCAACAGTTGTACCCCAGCAAACCACAAATCGTATAAGGATGTTCGTTTAAAATCGTATAAATATCCAAATCAAGTTGAAGTAGTATAAGATGCAATTCCAAATTGGTTGAAATTGTTTAAGATGAAAAATTATGATTCAATTATAATCCTCTTTACGAGATTATAAATGAGTTCGTTTGGTCAATAAGGAATTATTTAACGCGTTCTATTTTGAAAAAAGATGATGATATTATATATGTGTACATAAGATCAGTTTCAGTCATATTGTCAAAACAAAATATTGGACCATAACAAACAAAAAGTAACAGCCAATTGTTGCCAATATTCATAAACTTCATCACATTCAGTCAATGACTATAGGAATTTACTATGGAGCGAGTAAGCCCGTGGATGCTGATGAATTTTTGTCACCGATGATACAAGAGCTCCTGCTACTTTTGGATTCTTGAGTACTTAATGCATGGCGAACCGGGTCGATTACTAGAAAAGTTGAATGGAATTTCTAAGAAAAGCAAGAAATTTCAGCACAGCTCATTGTAAACATTGAGGTTTCCAAGTGAAATTCATCGTCGTATGCGCTCATTGGACCATATATCTCTTTAGATGGGTTTGGAGTACATAATTTCTCACAACTACACCTACATAGTTCTGCTCAAATATCACCTACCTTCCAGATATTATGAGCACTTCACACCAACCAAACAAACCCAAATTTGTACTCATTGCTGTTTCTCTGGGAACCATGTTTGTTCCAAATTAAATTAGTTCATTACGAGTCACATTAATGTACAGTTGAAGTTAAATAAGACAATAAGTCATATATCATGCAGAACAATATTGTATAATGCAATTTGCATTGTTCTAAACAGTTTCAGCTAGAGGAGGAAGGATATCATAAAATACACCAGATCGAATTAGATTTAATCACGTATACAAGCGAGGCATCATAATTTGAAATTTATTGCTCCGAATATACGTGTTCATATGCCAGCGAGGATTACAGCAGGACTACGGAACTAAAGATCTTTGGTTCGAAACTAGGTGTTGCAGGTAATATTGACTTTAAGCTTTGAATATGTTCATCATTTCAAAAGATAACTCATTATATTTCAATTTCCAACTTTTATTCAAACCAGTATCACCAGATACCACCAACTATAGAAAATTAAAGGTTTATTTAAAAGGTATTTTTTATGCTTTTTGCTTTTGGAGATGTAATTTGAAAGTCGTACAAATAACATTTTAAATAAGTTATTGGCATATACAAAATCATATTAGATGCAAAATAAAGTTATACATGGAGTTGTAGAAAGTACCCTATTGAATCATATGAAATCATACAAAGTAGACTTATTTTTCCACATGCACGTATATGGCCTCCATATTTGTACGTATAGTTGAATTCTATGCACTTTATACGATTTATGTTTACCGAATAAAGATTCACATAGCAGAGTAACAATTCAGTAATGTGAACAAAATTGTTGGCTGGGACATTCGTTAAATTTTCATCATTTTGAAAAATGAAAAAGTCTTAATTTTAACAGATTTGTAGAAAAAAATCCTATCGATTGGCGTATTAGGAATTGAAATCCATCATATCTGGATCAAAATCACTTTCATGCCACGACCGACTTTGGTTTTTGAAATCACACCCCCAATGTTACTTTAAAGTACATTGTATGTTAGATTTAAACATATCTAGATAGAGCTGAAATTAGACGCAACAGCTTTTGTAAACAATGACTTCTCTCGATGATTTTTAGGAATTCAAGGCACGCCCACGCAAATTAACATTACCGTCGGGTAGAGGAAGTCTTACCCTACCTGATGGTGATGTTGATTTGCGTGGGCGAGCCTTGACTTTCAAGACATCATCGAAAGAAGTCATTGTTTACAAAAGCTGTTACGCCCTAATTCCAGCTCTATCTTGATATGGGAACTGACATCCGATTGATGACCTTGACAAATATCCAAAAAATACTCTTTTACAAATTTATGGTGGTCCTGAAAAGGACCGTTTTGCCGTGATGGTTGAGTAATGCTGAGCTATTAGGTTGTTAAACACAGATAAGGCTGCTGAGCTGTATGTTGTTTGGAATGAGGGTGACGCGCTTGGCATAGATGGCCCACAGCGACTCTCGAAGAGCTACTGAGAACAATATTCAACGCCACGCGCCGAAAGCACTGCTGCTGCTGCAGCTGATGCCGACGACCGGACACCACCACCGGAACTGAATCAGATTAGCGGTTGAGGTCAGCCATGGTAGCTAGCTGCTTGCGGGGAGCCTTTCGTTGTGTACTGGAGAACACCACGCGGTGATTGAATAAACAACGATTGGTGAGACCGGATGGAATTCAACTTTGAATTCTGTGTTAGGGCAATTGCTTTTCGCAGGCAATCGGTGATAATTTTAATTATCAAAGCAACAATTGCACATTCGTGCAATTTTCAATAGTTACGTTTTGAAAAATGATCAAGTCTTAAATTTAACAGATGAGTAGAAATATATCTGATCGATTGGTGATAAAATTATTGAAATTTGTCCAGGGGCAGCTGAGTTATTAACGTTCAAAGTCTTTCATAATTTTGTTACATGTTCCATTTTCGGTTTTCACAAAGTGAACCGCCATATAGAAATCACAGACGTACTCGTAGGTCAAAAAAAGTTAATGGCAAATTAATATGCCATGACTTTAAAATAATTAAATTCTATTTCACTAGTTACTTGTCCAGATCATCTTATTTTACATGATGATTCTAAGCATTCACAAAAATATTGAAGTAACATGAAATTTCAGTGAGAAATACCATGGTGAATTATTGCAATGTGTACAGTAACGACCTGATTTTTGTCAGTCCCCTTTTTTAAAATATTTTATAATGTTCTGCGAAACCGATGCTTTCTTCCAGTGATTTTAAAGCACCAAAGTATACCTTAAACATCCATCTTGAAGACAAAGATTTAGAATTACGGTTATGTTAACTTAATTAAAGATAAAAGCCTGATGCACGGAGGGGCTGACAAAATCGGGCCATTACTCTATCACTAAGATACATAATGCCCTATTCTTTTAGGGATACTTCGAGACTCTCCAGAACGAAGGATTCGGTATTGATGTAACCATTTTCTGCCCGGGACCCACGGCCACCAATTTTCTTCAGGAATGCTTCACCAGTACGTCCGGAGAGGTAAGTCCACATCTAAAGATATTTTTTCCCCTCAATTATTGTTTGATTCCAAAGAAATTCAGCAAACCAGTCAACGCTGACGATCGCCGACTGACCAGTGAACGGTGTGCCGAATTGTACGCAATTGCCTTGGCCAACAAAACTCCCCTCAGCTGGGCCGGAACAAGGCCGATGAATTTCATTTTCTACATCGGTTGTTACTATCCGAATGTGAAAAGATGGTAGGATGGATTTACGTTTTGGTGTGACTGGTTTAACTCATTTTTTCTTTGTTTTTATTTTTAGTTTGATTAACACACTAGGAATGGCGAACATCGATCGACTGAGAAATGGCCGTCCGCTTGGATCAAATTAAGTAGTTAGGTTAAGTTTTTAATGATTGAAGAGTAGGTTTAAGTTTTTTCAATGATTTCTCAACTTCTAAATAAAACAAGTCTATGGAGGTGGTTGATTTTTGCCTTAGATTAAGGTTCAATTAAGTGCACTTTATTGGTCCGTCATTGAACTTAAACTATCAAGCTTTTATTATGCGTAGCAAAAAAATAACACCTTTATTGTCGCTTGGGTTTGAAAAATTTACACTTACCAGTGCTATACAATTACACTATGCCATGCAATACCGATCCAATGTTACTAAAACTGTCTAGTTCTATCAACTATTTGGCGTTTAACCCCACACATATGTAACACCTTCCCAACTTAACTGCTCTATTGCACCTTGTTTTTGGACCGAAGATCCAAACAGTTAGCATTGATTTCAAACTCCTTGATGGTTTCTCCCTTGAGGTAGGCCTGGGCATAGAAGTTCCCGAACAGCACGATGAACGAGATCATGTACCCAATCAGGGTGTAGTGCATCCACAACGGGAATTCACATCCCACGAGTATGCCATTGATGCCCAACGCGAGGGCGCAGGTGAATTGGATCTGAAATGAGATGAGATGCTATCATGAATATCCAGCAGTGAGCTTTCTCTGTTCGGCAATTACCAATTGCAGAATGGTCAGGTACTTCTTCCACCAGAGGTATTTGTTCATGTGTGGTCCCAAGGTAGACAGTCCGTAGTATGCGTACATCAGAACGTGAATGAACGAGTTGACCATGGCGGGGAGGAAAGCTGGGGTGAATAAAAAAGTTATTAGCTGCATAATCCTGAAAAAAAATCCCAACACTCACTACTTCCACTGGGAACCCACTTGACGCCAATCCACCAGAACGAAAACATGGTACTGTGGTGGTACACGTGCAGGAACGTCAACTGGTTGTCCTTTTTGCGTAAGATGAAGAAGAACGTATCGGTGAATTCCAGCACCTTGGAGAAGTAGTACCACCAGACGGCTCCGACAATCTGCGCAATGACATCGTAATGAAGGGTGGATGCACGCGATTAATAACAAAAAATGCAGAGATGAAAAGGTAAAATTACAGAAAACAACATACCGAAGAAAGTGAAATTAACGCGAAATCGAAAGTTCGTGAGAAGCAGAAGATCCCCATGACCTCCTAAAACATGACAAATTGAAAGATCCTTGTCCGAGACAAGCGCACGACCGGCAACGAACAGCGCCGACCAAGCAAGAAGCATAATGAGAGTCAGGAAGGGCGGTGTCGAAGGAAGAGATAAATTACAAAGGAAGAGAGCAAAACGAACGACATATCGGCAGATTGGGATGCTGTTGCTTCTGCTGAGCCGGTGCGGCGTGGGGAAGTATGTCAACAATAAATTTCGATTGATAAATTGTTATCGCATGAGACAGCGCGGAACGGTTGGTGGCATGAAGCGTGTGTGTGTGTGTGTGTGTCGGTACAGTAGCCGGGCACGTCGCAGCAGGAGTGAATACAAAAACTTTGAGGTTCAGTCATCCACACTGGTTTAAGTAGTAATTGAAAAAGTTTCGTAATCTTTAAGTTAATTAACAGCGTTTGCAGGTGGGCTCCAAATAATGGACATATGAATAATTTGGCTTAATTAGTGCATTAGATCTTACGGGTTCGGTTTTTTCTCTTCCACATCTTGTGTGAGGACGTAGTGTCGCGTGAAGTAGGGTTAACTACCCCATTTCCGGCCAATTAAGCACAACCTGCACTTACTCTTTCTTAATCTAACGCAGTTTGGCACCAAACGGAATGTTATTATTACTGATGGCTTCCAAATTTATTTACCTTTCCGTATGTACTAAAAGATTTGATAAAGAGAAACCAATCGTTGAGATATTGTCAAAAGTCTAGCACTGCTTCTTGACGCCAAACTCGGCCTACGGATTCTAAAGTCGGCCTAACGCATTGAAACGCCATTGAAACACCAATTAATTCACTTCGGCCTATCGGATGACGATAAAATGGATTCGGTCGGAGCGTTTCTTTTGTTTTTGGGAATATTGGGTGCAATCTTTCATTCCACGCGTTCTCACTGACTTCGTTCCGTAGCTCATTAACTACACACTTAAAAATACCTAATTTTACACGTGACGGAATCCATCTTTGACATAAAGGATAAGACGTAAACAAATATGTAATGTAAAATTAAGTGCTCTGAGACTGAAAAGTTCGTTGCTCGACGAAAAGTACGTTTGATTGAGCTAAATTTTGCGTCTTTTATGAATTAATTTTATGTCAAAGTTGACGCTCAATCGCGTAGACTGAAATCAAAATTGTCATTTTGATGCTGGACTTTGCTCGGACTGCCAGCACTGGGAGTTTTCCAACGATGCTTACTTAGTACTAGCAACCGGTGGAAACTAACGATTTGAAATTGGCTCACTACTTGACTAGCGTCACAGGAGTGGAACTTCGAATCAGAAAGTGGCTCCACTGGTCATTTGCGAACACTAGCGCACCTAGCGGTAGAAGGCATCTTCGGCCTGCAGTTAAGATATGCAGCATGCTATGATAGTGTGAGTGCACATAGAAAGCCCATGTGGAACGCTACCACATCACATCGCTCGTTGAGCAGAAAAACGAGCACTTTTTGATTCACCGATTTGTTTGCACTTCCCCTTCTGTTCTGTGCTAGCGTGTTGGTCCCAAGCAAATCGATTAACGTATCCCATTCTACTCGAAATTCTAGAACTACACTATGTTTGTTTTGATTCGCTATGAAAGTTTGACAGATAAAATGAGGGGTTAGTGGATTTTCCTATGTTTCGAGGGGTGAATCGATTAGCTTGGGACCGAGAGTACCAGAGCTGAGCCAAAAAGTTGAGCACGTTATTTCGGGACCTTCTGTCTTAGAGTTACCTCTATGGTTCTATCTCTTTCACTCTACTCAAAATTGAAATGCATAAAAAAATGACAAAATGATACACTCTTTGATCACTGTCAAAGATCATAGCACACAAAATCAACTTTGTTCAAATCAAAACAAAAATACTAGCCCATCTGGTGGATGATGGCACAAGCTTTTAAGAAAATTCTATTACAGGGAACCACATTATTTTAATGGATTACTTCGCCAGTTAGTCGTCTGTCACTTCGTTTGTGGTACTAGTATTTCTATTTCCCGGTCATTTTTGGTTTCCCAGGAAACGGAAAACAGCTTATGGTTCTTTCCGGGAAATTTCCCCGGAATTTCATTTTGCTGGATCTCAGTGAAAAATTTGCCGAGATCTCGGCGAAATTCTCGTTTGTTAGCTGAATATCGGCAAGTTTTTCAATGAGATTCAGCCCTCACCCACCCCTCACCATCCCTCTCCAAAGGGGGAGTTTGGTAAAGAGAGATGAAAAAACCGATTTGTACCTTCCTTAAAAGTTGTCCTAGCTCGCTATTCTAATATCTATATGCAATCTTCACACTGCCGTACTCTACCGGAACTATCAACCCTATCTACTCCATCTATCGTATAAAAATTACCACTACAGTCTGTTATTTGAAAGTTAGCATCTTCAACTATGTAAAACATTTCCTATCCTTAGTTCTCAATGAATATTTCAAATGGTCCTATCCAGGCATGGAAAATCATTTGCATTCATTTCGTGCATTCATTTACATTCATTTGCCCCTAACTTTTTTCATCATTAGAATTCCACAAAATAATGTATCGAGCTTTTGTAGGTTTTATTATTAACTACAACTTTTGTCAAGTACTTAAATCCGTAACTCTTATGCATGACGAACCAGAGCAAACAGAATCCACTACAGTTTTTCAGTGAATGTATTTTACATTAACTGAAAAACAGTAACGAGTTCTGCCCACTCTAATTCGTGATGCCTAAGAGATACATATTTGAATTATGGGCAAAAGTTGTAGCTAATAACAAAACCTACTAAAGCTCTATACATCATTTTGTGGAATGCTGTTGATGAAAAAAGTTAGAGGCAAATGAATGTAAATGAATGCATGAAATGAATGTAAATGATTTTCCATGCCTGGTCCTATCTGCTTTGATCGATTCTCTTCATCGACTTTCTCTTTTGATAACCACGCCTACGCAAACATATTTCGTGCTCTTTTTGCCACACAGTTTGATAGCAGAAGTTATTGTCTTGCGCTTATAACTTTGAACACAGCAAGGAATGCTTTTGAAATTGAGTTATTAAAGAAAGAGATAGTCGATGAAGAGAATCGATGAATTCAGATAGGACCCTTTGAAATGTGTATCTCGAGTTGTGATAAAAATGGGCGTGGCCAAGAATAGGGAATAAATGTTTACTCCCCAGCATTATTCCTTGAAAGTAATCTGACTGAGAAATTCATAAGCGTCGTGAGTTTTTTTTTATCTTTATTTAAGAGATTTTTAGCCGAAGGCTAGTTCATCTCTCCGTGACGTGAGTGTAACTAGTATTCAATCTACGAAGTATACCGTAACAACGCTAACGCTAAACTACTGAAACATTTCAGTAAGTTTATTCAATTTTATAACCTAGGCAGGGCTGGCAAATGTCATTTTCAATTAAATATCTCACGTGATATTTACGGAGATACTTCTGTCACTATCATTGGATGAGAAAACGATGATTGAGATTTTCTTCAAAATCTCATCGAATTTTTTGTCAAGACAGAACGTGACAGTCAGTGTTGTGATCATCGTAAATACTAGCTCATTTAATGCTATTAAAGTTACTTGTACCGAGGAAATCCTAATAATATAATCACTCTACCGATTACATACGGTTGTTTGCTTAAATTCATCTAAATCAGTTAGAAATGTTGATGTCAAAACCGCATCAGAATAATGCTCATGAGTGCTTGATCATTGTAAAAAATGACAAGCAAGCTAATGATAGGTAGTTTCGTCTCGTGATAGTGAGAGGACCTGTTTTCTCATCCTCACATGACGGTTCTGAACCTAGGTTTTCATATTCGTGTTTCTTCTTCTCTAGTTTCCCTACTGTGTGCGGATTTGTTCTAGTGATCGCTAAATATGTATGCTCATCAAGCTATTCTTCCGTGGAGTGTGTGTGGTGTGGTTAAAGCGAACCCCACACGGTAAGAAATATTGTCAATACTTACAAGTATTGACACTAATATTGATGATGTGAATACAGAAATATTGTCAATACCGATGTTCAATACAAAAAATGTATTGACAATACGTATTGACAATACGATTATTGTCAATACAAACTGTTGTGTAGGGTCCACTTAACGCATGCGCATGGTTAACGTAATTGTTTGTCTACTAACGGTACCGAAATAGCTGGCCGATGAACTGGTTGGCAAAGCAGATACCGGCTGGTTTACAGTGGTATTGTGGCTATCGTCTAAAATGTGGCGATCGGCGATGATGCTGCGGAGATTCTCAGTCGATAGATGGTCTGAAAGCTGGTACTGAAACTCACGGCGAAATGGATCGGCGCTGCAGATGACGTTGGGGAACGTCAGTGGTTTTACACGTGTGGCGGGAATGGCAAAATCATCGACAAAACGACATGAATGACCATAGCAAAAAAAAAATAAAATTTCTGACCAAAGCACACTACTACTGACATCTGGTTCCGTGTTCGCGGGAAATATTTAGCTAAACCATGAACTCGCATGCAAAAGTTATGAATTGGTTCGTGTCTGATCTATTCTGGACAAATTATTTTTATCTTGATCAAAAAATCCTATGGTTTTGACAGTTCGGATCACTGTACATTTAAATCGGCCGTTAGCGATTTTCGGGCATAAGTCAGAATTAAGTGTCATGTTGGTTTGTCGGTGGCGAAATGGCCGTTCTGTCGGAACGGTTTGTTCCCTAATGGCTTTCCCCTAAACCGCGACTTTTGACGCAGAAGCGTGGGGTCGAGAGTAGTGTTCTAACTAGAGATGCGAATTGCCGAGTTTCAGCCGTATATCGTTAGAAGCGAATCCTAGATAAAAAGCCTGTTTGGCTGTTCGACGCGTTAACAAAAAAATCTCCACACAAAAAACATTAATCCACGAATTACCTTTTCGCTAAACGAACGCACACACACAAATTGACTGCACGTCAACTTTGAACTTTTAGGCTACACGAAGGAAACGAAAAGTAACATTAAATTCGATCACTAGACTTCTCACATTTTTAATAATTAGCAATTAAAACACACCACGACACAATACACTATTTCACGCTCTCTCGCCTCTTCCATGGTCCAGGTCAAAATGGACGAATGGACGTACCAAAAACCCGGAAGTACGTCATTACCGACCTTTTCATACGACAAATCTCATCAACTACGATCTTGATTAAACTGTCTCGCTTCAATCTATTTCTGGTTCAGTTGAATTTTTTTTTTATTAAGAATCAAGAATTGTTCGGATCCAAACCTTGGACACGAGTCTCACAAACCAGTGAACGTTTCGTTTTTATTTGTAGTAGTGATTTCAATTTAAGTTAAGTGAGCTCAAGTTTAAGCTTAAGTTAAATGAGCTTAGGTACGACATTGTTCTTAGCTTAAAGCTCATCCCACACTCGAATCATCAGGTCGACTCCACACATGAGAGATAAGTATCAGAGCGAGATAAATATAGAAAATCCGCCAGTCGGATCGGATGATATCGGGTAGGGGCGGATAGCAAAAACAGCTCGTTGAGTCGCCTTTCACCCCATCGCTGATTGTCAAGGTGATCACGCCGTCTGCTGCGACGAAAATGTTTCTGCACGACGGCAGAGTACTTGCCACGCCGTCCGAAGCGGAAATGAGCAGAGACATGACAGCAGCACTATTTTGTAACTTTTCAGGTTCAAGCAAAACGATGTGCAACCAAGTGGTACTTGATTACGACAACTGGATTTGGGGAAAACGTTTAATTCATGAAAATAGTGATTTAAATTATCACTGATACATTTTTCAAAAGTTTTGTATAGAAAATTGGAAAAGCATTTATTTCAGTAGATTTGTAGAGTTATTTTCTATCGATTGGCGCATTTGGATTTTAAGTTCATCTATAAATGACAAAGTTAAGAGCGTCCAAAACCTAACACTATTTCGTCACACAATTTTTTTTTTGCATCCCAGTATAGTCCACAAAGACGTAGTTCTACGTCAAAAAATGAAGTTCAGGAAAGCTTAACAATTCCTTTAAATATAAAACAAATCCTATGTCTCCAATACTTTGATACAAGTTAGGCTGGAACAGACGAATGCTCTAATGTTTGTTGTTCAAGATAATCAACTTAGCCGAAACAGTCGAATATCTGGAATTTCATAGTGAAAAGTTTGATTTTGACACCATACATGCGGATGAGTTTCAAACTATATGTGTATGCCAATAGATGGCCCCATTATAATGAGAAACTTCGTCCAAGACACCAAGTCACGGAAATGCTTCAATTACTGTGCTTTAATGATGTCTCGCTTGATATTGTATTCCTGGCCTAATGCCCGTTAACTTTTTATTTTGCGAAATTTGTCCAACTGGATAGATTGACATGGTGATTGTAGATAAACCAGACAAACCGATGAATCTCATATATGAGCATTTGGTAACACTGTGACAACTTCAGGTGCTGAATGAATTATAGCTTATTTGGCTTTTGTCCTACAGGAAAGCAGTAACCGTTGCTCGATGAGTTAAAAAATCCCTGGCAACAACGGCTGAACAGAGCTCAACCAATAAATGCACCTGAATGCGCATCATCACATTCGTCACTGTTAAAGCTCATGGCATGCTTGCAGTCACTCACTGTCATCTTTTCATCACATCCAGGTGAGGTCCATTCGATGGGATGTGCAATTTATTTCCTTGACTTAATTAGCATATCACTTTTTGTGTAGGGTAGATAGGGGCAATATGGTCCCCCCTAAGAAAAACACATCATAACACATGAAAATAAATTCATAAATGTATGATAGCTGTGATCATGCTCATGCTTTGGAGTATGTTTGATTATATACAATGTTTAAAATATGGATAAAATATGATAGACTTAATAAATTAATATGTTTGAAAAATTTCAGTTTTTGGTCCGATCAACAACCATACGGGGCAATATGAGCACCCTAGTAAAAGTAAACGTTTTGACAGTTTTTCACTAGATAATTTCATTCAGGAATCATGTGAAATAGAAACATAAGTTCTTTTAGCAACAGTTACGTGTATTGCTCGCTGTAGAACCAGCAGATCAGTAAAATGTAATATAATGAATGCAATGCTTGTTTTCTTGACTGCATATCTTATAATATTCTAGAGATTTTGAGCTAATGTTACATTTCCATCATTATCTTTGACATGTAATTGATACGGTTTTCATGGAGATGCATATTAGAAGCATTTTCTACAAGTTTGTAAAAAAATTAGATCGAGTTAATAGGTATTATGCCCAAACGAACGGTGACCCATCTCGCCCCGTATAGTCTTCTTGCCCCCATCCCCCCTAATTGAATAGTGAAGATGTGCATCGGTGACACTTACCCTCATCTCCGAACTGCTGAAACTCTGCTTGCACGGCTCACAGATGTAGCTGTATCCCAGCTGTGTGGAACCGATGAAAAGTTGGGCGCAAATGTACAGGTTTAAAAGTGCCATCACAAGGTTGTAGGGAATGAGTATTGGAGAGAGATCGAATGGTTTTCGGCTGAGGGCAAATAATGAACTGTCAGTTAAGCTGAAACATTTTAGGTCAATTTGAGACGCTTACTCTCGCATTAGTCTAGGGCCAGCCCAAACGACGCCAAGATAGGCACACACGCACAGCATCGTTGGAACGGGGGAATCCACCAGTAGCCATCCTTTCGTTCGGGGGTCAGCAAGTGTGAGCGTCCATTCGTAGTATCCGAACACATCGTAGAAGGGTATGCTGTCCGTGTCGTTTCGCATTATGAGTTATGAGTGTAGTTGCCTGCGAATGAAAAACTTCCATCATCAAGTGACAATAAGCAAAATGAGTTATTTGAACACCCTTCTTCAATGCCATCCGCTGAATGGCATCCGGACTCGAAGACATTGGACGCTGCAGAGTGCCATCGGTCGATCGAGTTTGGTTTCTATTTGACTTTGGACAATCAGCGACTATTATAGACGACAAGCACCAATGTTGGGAACGTCTCTTTGTTTTGGATTCTAATCTTGCTTGACATTTACCAAACGAGTGGAACGGACTTGATTTAAATTATAAACTGCCCTTCAACAGTTTTGTTTTCATTCGAATGAACAACTTCGAAATTTGGGTTTCAAATTTTATAGCTTCAGTTGGTGAATTATTGCAATTGTGTTAATGTTCAGGTTTCATGGTTGCTTTTCTGTGCAAGGAATTATTCTAGGTGTAATATAACCAAATGGTATCTTAATTGATGGCTCGTGATAGATACTTTTTATCTAGAATAAATCAACCTGTTATGAAATCTGACCGTTAACCCTTAGCTATGAAAAGAAGGACGATGCATGATTTGCACCCCAGTTACACTATATGGCCAATAAGATGCCATACAAAATGGTCATTTTGAATTTCCAACCATGTGCAGATGAGGGTGTGAAGGTTGTATATGAAATTTCGAAATTTTGTTGTTGGAAATGACTTTAAAATGCATGAAACGTCGAGGTCTGGCCTTATGGGAATTTGATTTTTTTTGGTGAGTGAGAGGCGGGATATCGAACATTGATGAATTGGCATCTAAAACTGTTCACAACTATTTCCCAACTACTTATTTATCATTTTAAACTATTACTAGCATCTAAAGGGTGGAACGGTAAAACAATTGGTCGACTAAAATTTGGCGATTTTGTTTTAATCGTGCATGTAACAAACTTGAACACCCCTTATTTTGTAGGTCGGTGCGTACGGAACGTTGTCTTTATTTTGGTTTTGCTATTTTCCATTCAGTTGTCACAATGACGTCGAAGCAAGAGGAACAACGTATCCAAATTATTCCCTCGCCGTTTGATTGCGTTATAACGAACGATGAAATATACGTCAAGGCAGATTTCAAGCAGCTTCCAGGTCAAGAGTTTACATGGCTACCGGCATAGGAAAAGTTCAAGATAAGCTTAGGCAGAAAAGTTGTCAAAGTTCCCGAAAAAATACTTGGTTTGGCAGGCGATTTGCCCCTGTGGGCTCAAAAGCAAAATTTTCGTGACAACTGGCATTGTCAACCAAGATATTTATGAAAAGAAATATTTGCAAAAACGATTGTTGCCTTTTTTGAAGGATCACCAAGGGGTACTCAACTCTGCACATCTCAATCTGTGTCAAGTACTTTTTTTTTTTTTTTTTTCCTTAGGTTTGTTTTTTCCGTCGATCTTGTTTTCCGTGCTGAGCACCAATGCTACCGACGTTCCAGGAAGGCAGCTCCCACACCTGGACCCTACCTATCGACCCATCAACTCATGAACCGGGGACCAACGGCTTTACTTCCCATCCGAAGGAAGGCGTGATCAGAGATGTTATGCCTCAGAACATCCCGGCGGCGCCGACTGGGATTGAACCCAGGCCTGCTGGGGTGAGAGGTAATCACGCTTACCACTACACCACCGGCGCCGTTGTGTCAAGTACTTCATCAGGGCCAAAAGTTGTGCCCAGCATTGTGCCGAAGTGTGACAATCAAGCAGTCGGTCTCAGTACCCCATGAGTTTGGCAACCCTCCAGTTATGACTTTTGAGATAGTTTGCATACAATGTCATGTTTTCACGGATGGTTAAACGAGCTATTTGTGTGCCTATATTAGCCTGCGCCGGTGGTGTGGGTCTGGGTTCAATCCCAGCCGAGGTCGGTGGGATTTTTCTGAGGCATAAAAATCTCTGGTCACGTCTTCCTTCGGAAGGGAAGTAAAGCCGTTGGTCCCGGCCCATGTGTGTTGAATGGGTGCGATATCCTACGCAGGTTTGGAAGCTGCCTTCCTGCACATTCGATTGCCGTCAATGGATGGCAATCGATGTCCGTCGGTGATTGGCACTAGATTGCGGAACAGAGACCGACGTTAAATAAAGGAAAGAAGAAGAAGAAGTGTGCATATTGCATAGTAAATACGAGGGTAAACACTGTGCCTGTCCTGTTTATAAGTAAAACGAACATCAAATAACATGCATGTGAGTCTTTGTGTTTTGTAGAACATTTATTACTCTTGGTTCAACGATGCCAAACGAATGAGAAGATTGACATGCAATCTAGCGCATGATTCTTTAAATGTATTGAGGTAAATGCATATTCGTAATCTGCATTAAAATGGAACCCAAACCCAAAGATTCATTAATTTTGGTACACTGGAACTATTTTAAATAAGTACGATTACATTCGCAAAAATCACCTTATTAGTGCCCCTCGTTGTCACTTTGTATGGGAGCGAGCTGTCAGTTTGTCAGTTTAGTGTCAAACAGTGAAATTATTATTTTGCCTTAAATCTTGATTTAAAAATCGAGATGATAGTGTGTGGGTTCGAAAAAAATATCGCTGTGCTCAGAAAATGAAGCTCTTTCAGATGATACATAAAAACCGAAACATTTTTCAAAATTAAAGAACCCAATTACTGAAACTGTCAGCCAATATAACGCTCAGGCCCTCCACGAAAAGGAGAAGGGTGACTGATGGCAGAAGCTGTTCATACATGAGAAGAACGTACTGTACCGGGCGTCATTCTGGTAGACCGGCAAGTGGAAGATGTGCCTCTATCATAATGCTACTCGGGTAATGATATAATCTAGAAATCACGAAGGATTCGATCTAAAATTCCCACCGGTGATAGTAGAATTAGCAATAGACATTCAGCTTCATAATGTCAGCAGTCACTGTTGAATACTGAATTCGTCTAACTGAGCTATACATTTTTTATGAAGGAGTCACACAACTGCGTCCATGGCTATGAACTTTTGACCACCCTTATAAATGAACAGGAGGCCAAAACCGCTGAGATTGTTCATTAACGAATTTAAAATTTGCTAGAGCTGCTCTTTTTCTTTCTCATGGCTCTCAATCTCTTACTTTTTATCCGTTCATGCACATCTTCCCTTCAGCATCCAAATGCTGGTAATGGATCTCGATACCGGATGCCATCGTTTGATTACTACATCCTTGTTACCGTTGGGACATAATATTCCTTGTTTGTCAGTCAAAAAGTAGTTCAATTGTAAAACTTTTATTGTTGCTAAGTGTTTATTTTTATTTATTTACATATTGAATATTATATGCAGTTATATTAAATAATTCATAAATAAAAGCCTAGCTAGGATTAAATTAATTGCATGCACACTCAAGAAACAAATTCAAATTGATAACCTAAGAACACAATTTGTTACACTACACTACACGAAAACCGATACCCTTGGGAAAAGCTGATGCAGAGCTAAATTACCACAGAGGAGGCAAAGGACTACGATGAAAAATGGTATATCTGAAAGGGAGAGGCTACTGGTGGTCCTATTAGTGATGGAATGTTCTTTTCCAAGTAACACCTCAAGTGAGAAACATCTCGAAACTAGACCAGTTGTGCACAGTGAAGTGGAAAAGTGACTATAATCTCAATTTATATTGTTAAATTGGAGAAAGTCGAACCAGGTAGGCCTAATCACCCATAAAACGATTATGGACCCCGGAACCCAAAACCAGTAGTGCTCTATGGTAACACCTGCCCCCTTTGATATTTCCCTCACCCAACCAGGACCCATTGTATTCCGGTTGAAGTCGTTCCGTTACCGGTTAGCTAAGGCGCTGACCTGGAATAAAAGTCCCGTGCGAGGTGCGTAGCCAAACCCAAACCTCGACCAGCCAAAGGTCCATTGTGATCGCAGATTCACGAATAGACCAACAGCCCACGTGGCCTCCGTCCGCAGAGGTTAGGCCAGGGGTACCGACGCCGTCGTATCCAGCCAGCAGATCAACGAACGCCGCCGATCAGGTGCTTTTCGGTCCGCATGACCAACAACCGATCGCGAACCTACGACGTCCCACCACGCTCTTCTGCAGCAGCAGCCGGCCGGCCCATCATACCCACAAACACACATACCATTGCTGTAAGTCAGAATAAAAATGTGTTTAACTTTAGCTTGCGTTGTGTAGTTTTTTTTATCTGGTGACTGGACTCTTGTTAAGCAGATTCCCTTGATAATAGCCGACCCTGAGCGCAAAAGTGCCTCAAGCTCGAGCTTGCCGGAAGCGATCAAAAGAGGCCTTGAGAGCCCACCTTCAATGGTCCCCGTGGCTAGACCAGGGATCGAAGGCATTGTAGGAGGGTCCGTCTGATCCCCTATTAACATCCTCTTTATCTCTGCTTGTTGTTTCTTCATCTGTTTCATCCTTAGACTTAGACTAGCTGGAATTGTATATTTAACGCCCTAAAACTGCTGGCGGTTCCGATTACGTTTATTAATGCCACGGTTCAGATTGGCTCCGTTATCTCCGGTGTGGTTACCTTTACAATTCTGTAAGCAGAATCCTTCTTAACGTTGCTAATACGGGATCCACTAACTCCACCAGCCCCCACAGTGAATCGAATCTCCGAGATCGTTCAGTGCATAATGTAATGCTGCAATTGGAAATTGAATTCTGCAATTCTCTTTACCTATACAATTAGCTTTGGGTCCGGATCCTTTTGCCATCTGGGGCCTATTCTATGCGGCATGGTGACTCTGAATAATTTGTTTGGATTTGCCCCAAAACATAAATTCTTTCGAAACTATGGACATCCCTCAAATAACCTGTAGACTTTCTTTAGAGGTTCATTTCTCAAAAGGCATAACGGCACGGATAGTCTCGTCAATTGTGCAATCTTTTATTATGATTTGGGACAACTTCGACAAAAAAATGATCTCCCTTATTTTGAAGTAAACAAGGTAGTAAATCTTAGCAACGCTTGGCAAAATGTGAACACGAAGCAGTGATGCTGTTTTATATTATATTCTGCGTCATACTTG